TGTATGACCGCTGGCAACGTGTGGTTGCTAGTGGAGGTCATTACATTCAATAAAAGCTATTATCGATCTTCTACGACTTAACAGTGTCTGAGTTGCACGGACTTTTCGGACAACCTATTATCATGCGACAATTTCGTCCATAATAATCTAAAGTAGGGGTGGGTCATTTAACTTAATTCGACTTAATTAAGTCTTTTTACTTAACACTTAATATTAACCCTTTCTTGCCTTTGGATAACCTTAGTGGTTTTAGAGGAGAATTCCCACAGCAACATTACTCTTATAACTCTGATATACGAAGAAAATGTTTAAAACTAAATTCATTAGAAGCCATTCATTGAGCATGTGATACATAGGTTACTTTTTATTGAAAGAAATTTCTGAGATTCACAACAAAGTAGGAAAAACATGAAAAAGTAATTAGAGATAAAGGTTAGACTAAGATTCTTGTTCGCCGATTCATGATAGTTACTCTTAAGGGTGATACAAGGATCCTCGTTAAATTCCCTCTAGTTCAGAAAAATCAAATTTTCATAAAGTGGGCGCTATAGCGCCCAGAGGGCAAGAAAGGGTTAAGCTATTCATACGAAAGCTGAAAGAAAACTGTCAAAACTGAGAACGCAATATTTAAAGCTTTTCATTAAAGATGCATCTGACTACAGAAAGACTAGTTGTTTCTCCCTGAATTTTCCCCCATCTCAGCTAAATCAAACGAAAACTATGAATATTCCTCTATAGTTCTTCTGAAAACTAGCATTCATTAAATATTTTATTCATATCGTTTACAAATCGATCAAAAATAGCCTGAAAAGATTGTGTCGAATCAATATGAATTCAATTTTTGATATGATCAAATGCATGCTTCTTGGCAATTAAAAACATTCGCTATATATGTTTATCAAAATAATTTGGAGGATCAGGTGGATTATACGCTCGCCGATTTCGCTGTTTATAACATTTCCCAAAATTTAAATCAAAATAATAAGATAAATTTTAAATGGATTTTAGTTTCTCAATACTTAATATATTATTATTCCTATCATCAATGACAGATTTAACATTCGATAAAAAAAACAATTCCCAATCTTGATGATTAAATTGTTTCGATAGATATTTTAATAATTCTTGAAACATGGTTGTTTTACTGCTGCTTGTTACACTCTCATGTTACGCGAACACATAGTTTTTCGTTCTGTTCTGTTAAATTTCAGCTCAACTCATATTAGTCAAGTGCATCTTAGTATGAAAAAAGATAGGGAATAAAACTTGATGATATGACACTTTTTTCCTTTCAATTTTATCTTAACAACAGTTATTGTTTTCTTTTTTCTTTTCAACAGAAGTAAAATGGTTGATTATGATGATAGTGAAATTGACACAATCCCAAGAAAATTGTCCTTCATTAGTTTCGCTGATGAAGAACAAATAGCACCAAGTGCTCAAAATATCCTAGATTACCATTCATCTGCTCAGATTACAGCTATACAACTCAATAATGACGATAACAATCTACCTATATTTTCAATTCGAAAGATTTACAAAAATTTAATCGTTCTCTCATTAGGTTTTGTATTCATGTTAACAGCTTATACTAGCATGTTATCACTTCAATCTAGTCTAAATGCCAAACAGAATGTTGGAGTCAATTCTTTGATTATCATTTATGGTTGCACTATTGTAAGTGCAATCTTTCTTACTAGTACTTCTATGGATATTTTTGGACTCAAATGGGCTATGATAATTGCAATATTGGCGTATGCTTTATATATGTTAGCTAACATTTATCCACTTCCTGAACTTATGTATATTAGTAAATGAAACTCAATTGTCTTGTTATATATCAACAATGTTTGTTTATCTTTAAGGTGCAGCTTTAGTCGGACTTGGTGCTGCTCCTCTGTGGACATCTGAAGCCTTGTATCTCAATCGAATTGGTCGCTATCATGCACAACATAAATTTCAAACAGTTGAAATGTCTGTTAGTCTATTTTTTGGTATTTTCTCTGCTATTACTGGTACAAGTTTGATTTGGGGTAATTTAATATCATATTTTGTGTTACGTCAATCAAATACTCCACCAAAAGTAAATTGTGGTATCTATTTTGATCCAAAAGTAAGTAGACCTACAAATGAAACTGAAGATGTTAATGAAACAACGGTAAGATTTTCATCGATAATAGATCGAATATATTTTATATTATTAGCGTTATGTCCTATGTGGAGTATTTGCTGGTATAAGTATTCTCTCGATGGTAGTCGTATACTTAGCAGTTGATCAAATTCGATTAACCAAACGACGTAAGTATTTTTTATTGATCATAGAAAAAAAGAATGATTCGGTTTTTATAGAAACCATTCGGCAATCAATGAAAAAGAGTATCGAAGTGCTTGCATCATTAATTCGATGTAAAGAAATCAGTCAAATATTTCTTATTCCATTAACAATGTGGAGTCTTACTGAAAATGCCTTTCTAAACGCTCAATTCACGCGAGTATGAATATAACAATCATTTTCTAAATCTATATTCTCACTTGTAACTAGGCATTTATTACTTGCGTTATTGGTATTCGGTAAGATTCATTTGTTGATCGACCATTTTTTTTAATATTTAAATAGTTATATTGGTTTGATAATGGCTGCACACGGAATATGTTATGTAATGAGCAGTTATTTCTTTGGTTGGTTTGCTAGATATATTAAACGAATTGGATGCTTTATATTTGCTGCTATTCTTAACTATGCAATGATTATTTGGATGTATGTATGGGAACCTAATGATAAACAAATAGCTGTTTTGTTTATCATGGCTGGTGTTTGGGGTATTGCAGACGCTATATGGCAATCGCAAGTCATTGCAGCTTATACAGTTCTGTATTCAGATGGTGATCCAACTGTTGTAGCGAAATATAGACTTTGGAAATCAGTTGGTTCTTTATTGACTTATAGTGTAAGTTGTTCATTATTTATTCAAATATATTCCAGTGATAACATTTAGTATGCTAGTTATATAACTATGCGATCAACACTTTTAGTCCTTTTAATCTTCTTAACAGTAAGTATGATAGGATATGGTATTATCGAAATTCAACTACAATGGAGAAAACATCGAAAACATTACCAAGATTTATAATACACATCTAACCATATAGACTTGTTAAAATGAATAAAAGATTAAATTTTAAAAAAGAAAAGTATTTGTTTTTCTTTATATTGTGTTCAATAAGGTTTTGGTTAAAAAATACTGTAGCGAAAGGTTATAAAGAATTATGAGAATGTAGTTTCGAGTCACACTTTGATTATATTATTTTTCGTAGGAAGTCTTTCGTGCTTATTGAGACATCCATGCCTGTCCGTAGATGAGATAACTAGTTACTTAATGATTTTTTATTTTAGATAATTTTCATTTGATTAAATTTATTTCAGAAATACCATTACTCTTAAGATTAAATAAAATAGGCAATCATTAGTGTCATCATATTCGTTAAAAATATCATCACCAAGTAAAATTAGTAGAAAAGTAATTCTGAGCACTTTTTGTTCAGTTATTGTACTTGTCAACTAACGCATCATACTCCATCAGTCGTCACTGTTGCGCTGGTGTATCGTTATTCGACCAACTTCGAACATTTATTCCATTATTTCTGATCAGTGAACATTAACTTTAGTTCATTTTGTTCTAGTTGAACCTTCTCTTACACGGACGCATACTCAACATGTGAATTACAATTTTGTTTCGTCAATAAAATGAATAATGTACACATCTGTACGTCTCTCATTATCTACTCAGTAACAAGACATGTATAAATAGATACATGTATATATCTTTCCAAGGTGGTTATTTGCATAAGTTCGTAATATCCGAATGTTATTAACTCATTAACAACGTCACTACTGTCTATAATAGATACCAATACTTTGTTTCAGAAAAATGATATATACGAGAAGATGCTATATGAGAAACTTACTTTGAAAAAAGATATTTTCATGTGATAATCAATTTTACTTTTACAAAAACAAATTTGTTGCGATCGAATCCATTTTCTTTATTAAATTCTATTTATTTTGATAAGAAAAAAAAAACAGAATAACATTCATTAGTATATAAACAAAATTTATCAATTATTGATTGTTTTTTCTAGTAAAATATTTGATTAAATGGGAAATATTATCAAATAAAACATCTATTGTAATTATGTAGAAAATGAAATTTCCTGGCTAAAGTATTTAAAATAGAGTTTTCAAAATGAATGTCAAATTCATAATTAGCATTACAACTATTAATATTGAAAAGATTTTTTTGAAGTTAATTAACGAAGTGTTGCAATACTTTCGATTATGTATTGTTTATCATTGTCGTTTAGTTCTATGACATTAGCTTGTGAATGTTCATTGAATGAACCTTTTTCTCTGTATAATGACTTTATAAAAGTATGTCATACGTTTTCATTGGTACTGTGACGAATGTCACAACAACAGGGAGAGATGGTAGTACAGGTGCTAGTCGTAATGTAGATTTTCATATCGATGAATTCTTTAAACAACCAACAAATTTCAATAATAATTCAATTACAATTTATGCACCTCAAGATCGTTCTGCATGTGGCATTTATATGAAATTAAATGAACGATGGCATATTTGGGCTGAATATACAAGTTTCTTTTCCGACGATGGTATATCTCGTTGGCTGACAGTTATTCGTTGTGGACGTAATACTAAACATCTGAAGCGGCATGACCATTTAATTCGCAAACGGTCTCTTATATCCTCTACACGAAAAGATTCTTAGACTAAATATTAATCTTATTCACTCGTCGAAGACCATGCATTTTGAAAACTATACTAATATTTCGAAGAAAATTTATTATATTCTATTTCATTTATCTTAAAATATAAGTTTTTTCGAAAAAAAGCTTTTATCTTAGTCTTTTACAAGCTAAAATTTGTCACATAAAATCTCAAGTTTAATGATCTTGTTTCGAGTTATGTCATCACGTTCTTCTACATATCATTGAATTAACTCTAAAAATAGATACACAATTTTTTTTATTTCAGATCACACATGCTCTTAGAATACGCCAGATATATAATGTTACTTAAAATTTCTCAATAATCACTTGAATAGAAAGATTTATTTCATTTTTCTGAAATAATTTCATAGAGAGAAATTGTATTATTCTTTAAAGATTCGAATTATTAATCCTGATTTATTTTGTTTTGCTTGTAAATATTCGGCAGGATAAATTGTAGGAGAATATTCATATTGATATTGATTTAAAATTTGCACAGTCCAACGTTCTCCATAAGATCTATTAAGAAAATTTTCGACATTCGATACTTGATATTTCTCAATTGAATCATTGATTTTGAAATCGAATTATTTTCGATATATAGAAACTTTTCAGTTCGAAAGTTCACATCCTTTTTTGAGGAATTGTGTGATCATAATCATTTGGAATATTTATAAGATCTTCATTAATCATTAAAACATTGATATTTTGTTTAAAAATTCGAATATATTCTTTCATTGAATCAATTAATTCTTTTGTTAATCTTTGCTCTTCAGTTAATTTATCAAAAGTTCTTTTGATTTGATTCAGTTTCTTTTTCAATTCATTTATTTCTGTTTGAATGAATTGTTTACATTGCTGATATTTTCTATCAGAATATCGATGAATTTTTTTATGAGTATTTTTACGCCATTGATTTAAATCTTTTAAACAAGATAATTCGAATTGAAAATCAGCCCTAAGTTGATTGGCAAGTGAATTAAGTTGCGCATTTAATAGAGGAATCTCGGAATTATTTGTATCACCATATTCATCGATATGAACTTGACGTGGAGGGTTACATTGATCCATTGGACGAGTTCTAGTGGACGATGCCTTTTTTTCTTTCTAAGAACTTCACGATGTTAAAAATAGTTATTTAAAACTAAATTGAAAGCTTGAGTTTTAACTCGATAAGCTTTATAATTTCGAACAATTAAAGAATCTTTAGAAAAGTGTATAAAACTATATCTTTATCTAGAATTTTGCGCAATTTTCACTCTATCATTCCACTGAATTTAAAGATGATTTATTCAAAAACAATGATCAAGTCGTTAAGTCTATCAATGTTTACGTATATAGATTGATTTCAAATATAAAAATATGCATACACTTACGCAAAGATCGTTAGTCATTTACATAATACGTTAGTTGGAAAAAACCAAAATATTTATATGAAAAAAAAGTGATACATATTGTTAGAAAAGAAAAAGAACGAACACATAAATATAACTAATCTAATAGTACGATACACCTTTACACTATCGTTATATCCGTTATTACCTCTCCAAATAACGAGCTTAATTTACGTACTTATCACAAATCAATGTTTTTCTTTATCAATCGGCGTCAAAGCTTTAATTATTGAAGATAATATATGTTAGTATTGTCGAAATAAAACATGATGATATAGCATGAACATTTTGTTGATGTCTTGTACATATCTTCTTAATATTAGAGATAAATCTGATATTGTTGATTTTGTTTATCAAAGTTGGAAGATTGCAATTCATTTAATGGTCTCTTATTGTCTTTCAAAACTGAATTTCATCGTGTCATCGAAGTCAAATCACGCAAATATGACTCCCTATTCAGAAAAATTGTCGGTTATGAAACAATTCAAAAACAAATATATCTCTCAATTAGTTCAGTGTTTTATATATTGTCGTTTCTTTTGTAATTAGCCCTTTATCTGCTGTCGATTGTTACTAATATATATAACTTGAAATTTGACTTCCAGTGTCTGGATACTAAATCAGAGGTGCAGAATCTTCCTCATGCGCCTCCGCGCGGGGGGGGGGGGGGGGGGAAGATGTGTTTTATAGGGGGAGAGGTTGGACAAGCGTGGTGTGGGGGAAGGTTTGTGGTTGGGTCGGTGGTA